TCCAGCAGAGGGGGCACATCACAGAAGAAGTGGTGAAGGTCACAGAAGGGCAAAGTGAACACCTGGTAGGTCTGTCCTACCTGCACTGGTGCGACAACCATCCATGATCCCACTACCAGTCTGACACAGAGCCCCCCGTTCATGATGAGAGTGTAGTGCAGGGGGTCACAGATGGCTACATAGCGATCATAGGCCATGGCAGCCAGGAGAAGGCATTCAGTACTGCCCAGCAAAACCAGGAAATACAGCTGGGCAGCACAGCCAAGGAAAGAGATCCTGCCATCTTCCATCAGTAAACTCACCAGCATTTTTGGCAGAGTGACAGACGTGTAGCAGATCTCCAGGATGGACAGGTTCCTCAGGAAGAAGTACATGGGGCTGTGGAGGCTGGAGTCCACCACTGTGATGAGGGCACTCAGGCTGTTCCCTGTGAGGATCACCAGGTAGATGACCAGGAATACTGTGAAGCACAAGCCCTGCAGGCTGGGGTGGTCAGAAAATCCCAGAAGAATGAATCCAGATCCATCAGTGTGATTCTCCAAGCCTTTTCTTTGGGGCATTTTCTCTGCACAGAGCAATCCAAACAACAGGCTCTTAGAGGATGCTGGTGGCTGTCCACCATTACATACAACTCAAGCCTAGAGAAAGACTACAAATGTCAGCACACACATGATTGTTGTGTTAGGTGAGCTTGACCAAGAGCTGCATGGAAGTCTGGAAATCTAACATGGGTTGCTTGCTGCAGGGGGGGCTGTAAAGAGAGGAAAGAACAGAATCCTTGAGCCAGAATGACAAGGTTTTGTCTTATAGATAAAAGAAACTCGCCTCTCTTTTTTTGGAGGTGATTTTATGAAATGGAATACCTGGTGGTGGGTGAGAAAAAAGGAAGGAAGTGGATCAATACGAGCTCCTTTAAGAACAGTCTTGCTTACATTCCTTGTCCAGATCTTGTAAGAGCTGCATTTAATTTAGGAACATGGAGAAGAAACAGGGTGAAAAAGAGGAAAGGGACAAAAAGGAGGAATACCAAGCAAGGCAAGGCTAAGCAAGGAGAGGCAATCAAAACAAAGCAAGGCAAGGCATGATGTGATTCTTAGACCTTAGGGAGAAAGATTAATCCCAGCTCTCCTCAGATGTAAGAGCTCACCTCTTGAAACTGTGTCCCCACACAAAGATACGGGAGACTATCTTAGACATGAATCATTATTTTTCACAAATCCCATCTGAAGGAAATCAGGCTTCTATCTGCTAAAGAATGCAGTGACACGGGTGCATCCATGGGATATTTTAACAAGACAGTTTATGCAAAAACCACAGGTTTCAGGGTGCTAAAAGACATTTTTGTGCAAGCAGTCTAATGAGTGCTTCATGCAGGTTTCAGGTATACAAAAAGAGGGTGATTAAAAGCGGGTGATCTCCTCAGGACACCCAGTTTTCCTGAACAGGTCAGGCTTTTATAACTTCTGAATGAACCCTGTCTAGTTCACCATTCCTAACCTTGCTGCTCTGTCACTTGGATTTCTGACAGCTCAGAAATCCTGCCAAGGGTTCACTCCCTCTGACCCCAACCCTGCAATGCTTCCCAGTCCCCCACAAGCCCTCGCAGGAGCAGAGCAATGCTCTTGCTGCCTGGGGAACTGAGCCTTCCCTTTGCATTTCCAGCCTTCCCAGAGCACAAAGACTTCTCGCTGGGCATGCTGGAAGGGTATGAGCTGCAAGTGAGCAGCTCTGCAATAGCAGGTTGCTTCTTATGAAGGAGAGACTCACCTGGAAGATGTTAAAGAATCCCAGTTTGACATGGGGAAGGAAAGTTCTCTTCAGGGAGACAGGACTGAAGATGCTGGCTGTGTCTCTCCAGCTATTCCTAACTCTTTTGAAGAAGTCTTCTTAAGCTCTACTGAATTAATGACTAGAAAAGCAGCTTAGAAAACATATGATAAAAGCAGTCAGGTTAGCTAAGTGAAAAACATAAGATGTTTTTCTCAAGAGAAAAACCTGAATTCACAAAAATATGTGGGCTACGTAGTATGATTTTTCTTTTTTAAGGTGTTCCTGCCCTTTTCTCTGAGCTTTTTCTCTCTCAAAGAGGTTTTATTCAAAATTGTCAAGATCAAATTAGAACTTGCATGAGGAAAAAGTGACCATGATCCATTACCTTATTTACCTACTTATGCATATTA